CCAATCCCAGAAACACCGGGCTCCTGGCCAATCCCAGAAACACCGGGCTCCTGGCCAAACTCCTCGCTGTCGGAAGGCACCGAAGGCTGCACCAGAGGGGAAGGGCCGGGAGAGAGAGGCCTAGCCATCTCCTCTCCGTCATGTTCAGAGCCTTCCTCCTCTGATGAGAGGGACCCACCGGACGGAGCCACAACAGAAACAGCGTTCGCCCCCACGGAGGCACACGTCTCCACCACGACGATCCCCACCGCGCCGCTCACCGCCACGCCGCTCACCGCCCCATAAACCACGTGAGAACAAATGGAAGGGGTCAGCCCGACCCGAAGGGAGGTGCGAACAGAGAAGGGGCTACGACGACGACCAGGACGAGCGTAAAGTGCATCACATGGTTGTCAGCCACACCAACTCGACTGGCGCGGAAAAGTTTTTTGCAACGGTCATGATCGGGAGGCAACCATGTAAGATGGAGGTGGATACGGGATCCATCTGTTCCATCATGTCGTGGGACAAGCTCAAAAGACTGTTGCCGGAGCTGTCCCACACCGCCCTGGAGAAACCAACGGGACGGCTCGTAGACTTCAACGGCCACAATCTTCGCGTGCTAGGTCGAGCACGGGTGGACGTCTTGTTCCGGGGACACAAAGCTCGCCTGCCGCTAACCGTTGTGGAGGGCCATCGACCAACCTTGCTCGGCGTCGAGTGGCTCAAACCCCTGGGCCTGGGATTCACCGGCCTACACAGAATCCACAAGGAGGAGTTCGAGCAGCTGTTGGAGGAGTTCCCGGATGTGTTCGACGGCTCACTGGGTAAATACCGGGGGAAACCCATTTCTCTGAACCTAGATCCCAGTGTTGCCCCAATCCGATTGAAGCCCCGCCGTGTCCCTTTCGCCCTACGACACAAAGTGGACGAACAGCTAGACAAACTGCTAGCCCAAGGGGTCATCGAGCCGGTGGACCACGCCAAGTGGGAAACGCCCATCGTCCTCCCCCTTAAGCCAGATGGATCCTTACGGGTGTGTGCCGATTACAAAGGGACCATCAACAAGGCGTTACAACCCCACGCGTATCCCGTCCCCGTAGTACAGCATCTTTTACACTCGTTGGGGGACGGGAACGTGTTTGCAAAGCTGGATCTCGCTCAGGCGTACCAGCAGTTGCCAGTGGACGAAGCCACCGCAGAAGCCCAGACCATAGTGACTCATCGGGGGGCGTTCAAATGCAACCGACTCCAATTTGGGGTGAGCGTAGCCCCAGGACTTTTTCAGAGTGTTATGGAGCGGTTGCTGCAAGGCATTCCGGGGGTGGTGCCGTATTTCGACGATG